TGTCCATATCTTTCAATATGAGGGCTCCCGGTGTGGGTTTGGCCTAACATTGACCCCGTTTACTTGTGTACCCTTTGTCCTACATTGTGTTTTGCAGGATCATGGAGGATTTTCTCGACCAGCTGAACATCGTCCAGCGCCATAAGCTGCGGAACCTCCGCACCCGCAGCATCGCCGAGCACCATCACCTCGATTGGGAGGTGTTCGAGGAGCTTCATGCCAGGCCACAGATGGAGGCTGCGGTCCGCTCCCCTGCTTGGCGGCGTCTTCTCACCCTCGCCGAGCCGACCTACAAGGAGCTGGTCTTGGAGTTCTACGCTACCTTCACCCACAATCAGAAGGGGAACTCCAATCACTCTAATGCAGTCCAGTTCGCACTCGGCGGGGTGGAGCACTCCCTCAGCTATTGGGAGTTCGCCAATGCACTTCGCCTCAACTCCCGGGAAGCTCGTGGGCCGCCTCTCTGCCTAGATCTCGCTGATCCCACGGACTTCGCTTCTCAGGCGTACTTTCAGACCATCTGCCTGCCCGACAGTGTGGATGAAGAGTACGTGGCCAGCCAGACGCGGGCTGCTCTCCTCCGTCCGGAGTGGCGGATCCTCAACCACCTGATGTGCACTTCCTACACACCCAGCGCAGGCTCGGCCAACCGGGTCACGCTCCGCACACTCTGGTTGATGCATGCGATGGGTCGTTCTGAGGACACCATCCAGCTGGGCTCTGTACTGGCGAGGACATTCACTAAACCAGTCATCAGCACGACTCGCGCCCTCGTTTGTGGCCCGGTGATCACCGCCCTGGCCCGAAACTACGGGGTGGATTACACGGGGATGACTATGGTGCGCGGGCCGTCCCCACTCAGCGAGGCTACTCTCCGCCACCAGCACTTGCTTGCTCGCCACGGGCGTCAGCGCTGGATCGAAGGCCTTCCTCAGCCACCTCCTCCTGCCGAGGGTGACCAGGCCGAGTCGAGCGCCGCTGGTGGATGCCGAGGTCGCCGTCGCGTTCCCCGTCGTGCCCAGGCTCCCGCGAGCCCCTCTCCTGCTCCACAGTCTCCTTCTCCAGGGTCACCTCCTCCAGTGGTGGTGCCCATCTCCGACCAGTTGGCGGCGATCTCGCAGCAGAATGAGTGCCTCCTGGCCGGCCAGGAGCTCCTCCACACCCGCCTTGATCGTGAGCGGGACCGAGGGCGTCGTATCATGTCCGGGCAGCACTACATCATGTCCTACTTGGGCTTGGACCCGAGCGCGGTCCACTACCCATTCGGGCAGTCCCCGGGGTTTGAGGATGAGTACCCTCCACTCACCGGCGATGGTGGTGATGCCTTCTAGAGCGGGTTTTGTGCTTTATCTGTTTTCCAGACTAAGACTCCGTGTTTTGTGATTTCGTTTTGTTTTGTTTTATCTCGGATTGTAGACTTGGTACTCTGACTCCTATCACCCAGTGTGTGTTTTTGTTGTCTCTAGCTCTGTGCCCCTTCTTTTGACTGGTCCACCATCCAGTCAGCGTTCCTGACCACTTTTTCACGGTAACATCGTTCCCCTTCCCTCTGCTCCATTGAGGACATTGTCGCGTTTAAGTGTGGGGGGGTTCTTTGTATGAATTGGAACGTATATATGTGTGCTTGGAGCCTAGTCCACTGTCCAAATCTTGAGATTTGAGGGCTCCAAGCACGGCTGTTTGCTTGATGATTGATCGTATCGGCACTGTGGATGTGATTAGTAAAGTGAATGGCTTTTTGACTTGATACATGGCAACTTGAGTGTGACTTAGACAACTTATTGTGATGACTGAGATGTGCAGTAGAATTGTGTAGGGGTTCAGTTTTTTTTTCAAATGTCTGCTCACCAAATGTGACTTGGTTTGATCACTTGCTTTTGACAGTCATTTATGCATCTAGTTCAGGGAATCAGAACGAGAGATAGAGCATATAGGTAGCCATGTGAGATTTGAGCCTGCTCGTTTCTTTCTTGTGCGATAGTTTCCTCTTCCATGATGTGCAGCATTCACGTTGTCATTAGCTAAGATGATGGAGGCATAGTATTAGCCCACGACCAAATTGACTGTCCTAGTGTGTCCTACCCCTAGTCAGCCCCTTTGAGCCGTGTGTTTCCCTCTCTTTCGGTCTTCAATGAAAAGTCACCCTTTTGCATCTTTTAGAAGGTTCCACAGAGTGATTTTTACATGTTCTCTGCTGTTTCTGCTAAATGTAATGTGAGGGTTGGAGGTAGTGCTTAAAAGTTGGGCAGGTGTTTGAAAATTTGCAGAGGTGGTGGTTCTCTTAGGAAATGAAAAATAATGAAAGAAAATCAAAGAAAAAAATGAAAGCAAAAGAGAGCCACCACCAAAAATCTGAATAATGCCCATGTAGTAGTGTTTCTTAGCAGTCTGGCTTAGAAATACTAGCATTTATGTAACCTCCTTCGCTCTTGTGCTTTGAACTTGAGAAATGCAGAATAGCAGAAAGAAAGTTATTGGTTCGATTGATTGTGAATCTGTTGGGTTTGGAAACGTGGAACCTTGTGTTGTATGAATACTTCCACCACCTAAAAGGCCTTTTCCCCATGTCCAAGACCCTAGCCAGTCATCTGAACCTGTGTCTAAGACCTCCGGATTAGTTAGTGATGACACCCCATATGTGAACTCTAGCACTTAGAGGCTGCATTCATGGTGAAGAGATGTTAGGGATTGAGAGATTAAGCATGCGCATTTTTCGCATCATATTGTCCTGACCCCACTGGTCGAGAGTGAGCGATTCATTTTCTCGTATTCTCTATACTCTTTATCCCGGTGAGGACCTAGATTGCTCAGTCTTAATTCTGATATCTTGAACTTTGTGCATGATGTGACTGTTTTGAACAAGTGGTTGAGTCAAGTCTATGTTGGTTGGTGAACAGAAGGGAGACTCTTCCTTTGCTCGATTTTACTGCATTCGAATGTCATCTGTGGTGGTTGTCTAGGTTGTCATTGAAGTTGTCCATGTGTTACTGATCGAAAGCCAGCATGATCCACGTGTTTTGTGCCGATATGTCAGGCCTTGTTGTTTTGAGCTTACCTTGTGTCTGACTTGGTTTGCTTGAGGACAAGCAAACAGTTAAGTGTGGGGGAATTTGATAACGATGTAATTGCACGCATTTGCACCCATAATTCTTATCCATTTGAGAGGCATAGTCGTGTATTTTGGCCTATTTTACGCCGGGTTGTGCTATTTTGTCATGTTTCAGGTCCCAGGCGTCAAACGAAAGGCTAAGCACGAGTTTCGGGGCATTCGGAGCTCATTTCGTCAAGCTGGAGCCAAAACACGGGCAGACCTAAAACAGAACACGGCCGTGTTCTGTGGCCGTGTTTTTACTGCCGAGAGCAAATTCAAGTGGGGCAAACATTGGCTAAAAACACGGGCAGAAGCACGGCCGTGTCCATCCAAACCACGGCCGTGTCCAACGCGAAACACGGCCGTGTTTCTCTCAACTGTTGGCCGTGTAATTAACCCTGGCCGAGGCACGGGCGGGCTCAGGCAAAGCACGGCCGTGTCCTCGACCGTGTTTTGGCCTCTGATGCATTTTTAAGCAGATTTTCAGCCAAAGAGAAGGGGGATTCGAGTTTTTGAGAGATAGAACGATTCCTAGAGAGAGAAAGTGACGAACAAGAGTCTCCAAGTGCCTTAGATTGATCTTCAACACCATTGGAGGCCAGTTTGAGCTTGGAGAAGTGCCGATCAACATCAAGGAGCAGGAATCCATCCTTCACAGTATGAATTCCGCGTCTGATTCTGCTTTTGCTTTCTTCTCTATGGAGTAGTTCTCCCATTCATCTGGGTATGGAGAACCCTAGATTTGTATGTTAGGCTTTGATTGTATGAACCCAAGTACTGATTTTATGATTGATTATATTCGATTGAGGTTTGAATGATTGAATGACTTGAATCTTGATCAAATTCCTGTTGTTTCTGCTTTAACCTAGAATGAGAATATCTGCCTAGGTTAATAGAGTATCCTTGATTGAAGATAGGGAGTTGGTGACTTTAGTCGAGGAACCAACTCACTATTCTGTACCGGATTCACTTCGGTAGTGGAGGTTTTGTTCTTAGGGCCTCAATCTGTTTACTCCGGTGGAGGTTAGTCGCCCGCTAGAGATTCAGATTGAGAGGGTCTGAAGACCTTTAGTCGAGACTTCAGGCTGTTTGAGAACCTTCCGCAGTATAACCATCATAGAAACTTAACTTGGTAATTACAATCCGGCTTAACTGCAGTCTAGGGGGAACCATATCCGGGTGACCTCTCTTAACCTGAATACAACAGTTTACTTGCTTTGTTAGTTTGTTAGTTTAAACCTGCATTAAAGTTTCATTGCTAGATAACAAGAATTCACTGAGTAGTCATCAAATCTTGGACCCGGGTTGATAATTAAACCCAAACCCGCTATACTACGCTTTAGGAAGTGGTTTCACTTGGCCAATTCCTGGAGTGACAGTAGAAGTGAGTCATGTACGCCCCATTGAGTTTTGCTATATAGATCATGAATTAATCGGAGTTTGGTGCATGATACTATACCATAACCTCTAATGGGTGAACCCCAGTCCCTAATATTCTAACCCAAACCATGAGGTTCGTTTAATCTTAAAATGAAAACCAATAAAAATTTCGACGAATCAGAATCGTTGATTTTCATTTTTAAGATTAAACGAATCTCGTGCTTTGGGTTAGTGAATTGGGGCCTGGGATTCACCCATTAGGGGTTAGGTATAGTATCATGTCCCAAAATCCAATTAATTCTTTGTCTAAATAGCAAAATTCAATGGGGCGTATTGTAGACTAAGGTACGCCCAGGCGTACGCTAGCCTATATATATATATGGCAAAGGCTAGCGTACGACGGTCGTACGCTGTGCGCCTGTGTTCACACTTGTTAATAATTTTTAATTAGTTATAATTAAGTAAATAATTAAGAATAATTAAAATTACAAGCATAGCTATAAACTTATTTCGAAATACTATTTAGTCCCAAATATTTTGTTGTCTTTTTGCTTAAATCAATCATGTAAATTTTCAATTGAACATTTATAGTACCTTCTTTTTGCTATTCATAATTTATAACACCCAAATCTCTTATCAACAATAGATAGTGTTACTAGGCTTGAATCGGTGCCAAAGAAGCAAAAGGTCGAGGAAGGCAGTGGCGGCAGCGGCGACGAGGTCGCCGATGGTGATGGTATAACGGCGGTGGTGAAAAAATATTTCAGTTCGGATCGAAAGAACCTAGAAAATCCCCAAGTCAAGCTCCACACCGCTCTTCTATCTTCTTCCCCTTCTTCTTTCATAGCACGAAAATCCCCAATTATTCTTGATTGCGAGGTCCATAGCTGCGAGCTTTGCTGATAGATTCAGTCTATGTGAGATGAGAACCTAGAAATCCGAAGTAGCAGAAGACGATGAAGGTAACTTTTCAATTTTGGAGCTCAGTGCCTTTTCAATTTAGGAGCTCAGCGTGTCGCTATTTCTTCATCTCCCTTTCTTTATCAACAAGGTTTTTTTTATCACCTTTCAGCGGCGGGTATCTGTTCACAGCTAGAAAGGCCGTCAAATTCCAGCACGAAGCCAGTAATCTTAAGACCCATGGTTTCGATTGTGGATCCGCAGGAGAGGACACACGCCTGGCCAACGAGATCAATCGACGGGAACCAGATCATTAAGCATGATGGTTTAAGGTGAGAATTTGATGGTTTTGCTTCGTCTCTCTCTTTTGCATTCTTTAGTTGCATGTTCACTTAACACTGGTCTCCGATTTTTGTTCCCCTGTTCATCTTCACTCACATGGTTTCTCACCTATGAGGCTTTTGGCAGTTCGTATGCTCAGAAAATTGATTTTTCGGGGGAGATTCATGATACATCGACCACCTCCCAACCTCAGATGAGCTCTGATTCTTGGTTTCTCTCCTTTCATGATTATGCTCTTGAAGGTTTGTTTTCTATATTCTCATTCTTAGATTCAGAAATATTTGGGTTATAACGCATTTCCCTTATCTTTTTTCCAGAAACCGCCGGAGCTCAGAGCACGCAGATGCCAGTTTTGTGTGGTTCCGAAAGGATCATGTCACCTAGATTTGCTATCTTTTATTGTAAGGTGATTCCTCCTCTTTGTCTAAATTTGATTTGTTCTCTCTGTCATCAACGAGTTTTCTATTAAAAAGACGACATCAATATTTAGGGAAAAGCCACCAAGACGATTGGTTGCCTGGATGCCAATTTGTGATTCACTGGTGAGCTTTTTCGCAGTGGTTAATGCAGCTTTGGTAGGTCTCAAATATCAACGATCACATTTGTTTTACTCGTTTGTTTTCTGATTTTTATTCTTCTGCTAGAAACTTGTGTTGAAGATCGGCATCCGCAATTACATGGAGTAGAAACCTTTGATGCCTTTACTCTAAACTTTCTGGTTCCGCCTATGTTTTGTTTCCAAATTCTAATAATTTTATTGTCCTGTACTTTAACAATTTGCTTGGATCACGGTGTATATGATTTATGGGAAGCTTACAGTGATGATGGGTTCTAATCCAATTTAGTGGAAACTTAATGTTATTTCTCATCTATTTATAATCCTTAGTGTTGTCTGTCTCTTCTTAATCATTTGATTCGTGCTTTGCTGTGCAAAATAGCAGAAGTTTTGTAATAAAATTGGTCAACTATGACCAATCAATCTTTCTGAATTGTAGAAGTCCAGTGCTTTGAGGGGCCTATTTATTCCTTCTGCTTAATGTTGCATCCCTGGGCACCCCATCTTGAAATTATTTATTAACGATTTTTTTCAGTTCCTGTGGCTTAGTGATGTATAGTATCAAGTTTATCCTTCTGAATAAATCCATCTCTTTTGCTTTTCCCTTAGGTCTTTGTTAATAGTCATTCAATTATTATGATTGGTCTGCTTACAGTTTGACGACATATTGTGTCTCTCATGAAACATTCTGTTGTAATGTGTGATTAGCTGCTTGCCCAATAGTACTTTCCAAGTCTCTTTCATTGTCAACAAGTTCGCATCTAGCAAATACATTTATTTCTCCCCTTTTTTTGTTATAGCCATCTACGAAGAGAAAATGTGGCCACCCGATGGTTCTATTGTATATCGGAACTTCCACAAGATCAAGTAGTGTTAATGTGAGCATGTTAGTTTGTTACCTAATTGAGGACATGTAAACTCATGGAGTTCTATATTATTTCGTACTGTGTTATTCCTTAATAAGATGTTAACCCTTAGAGTGTGATGCTTCTTAATGCTGCTACTACTTGGTGAATGTGATGAAAGATGGCCAAAAGTTTGTTTTAGATGATCAATACTGTTTATTTATATGATATCAACCAAATTAATTCATTTTTTTCTTAGGAAATACTTAAATATAACAATATCCCAGCGCAGAGCGCGGGCCAAGATACAACAACTAATAATAAGCATTGCCTCTAGGGAATGGTTGAAGACATTACAACGCAGTGGTGGGAGCTCAAGCTTTTGAGATATAGATCAAGTGTTCGAAGATTACTTTTATCATAATTATTAAGTTCCCCCACCTTTTGTTTTTGCTTTGATTTTTTTATTTAATTGATTTTATAATATTTTCCACTTTAGGCTTAAGCTATATAAAAGTTTTATTTTCCTGTGTGCCCAATTATTGCATTGTGAAGTGATCTAGTATGTTAGCCACCAGTGTAGTGTTCGAAGATTACTTTTATCATAATTATTAAGCTCCCCCCCATCTTTTGTTTTTGCTATGATTTTTTTATTAATTGATTTTATAAATTATAATGTTTTCCACTTTAGGCTAAAGCTATATAAATTTTTTATTTTCCTATGTGCCCAATATTGCATTGTGAAGTGATCTAGTATGTTAGCTACCAGTGTAGAGTGGGATTGAAATTGGAAATTGAATTTTCTTTTTATTGGTTTCGGTAGGGATGGCAATGGGCCGGGTACGGTGCGGATACCCTATATCAATTGCCCACCATTTAAGCCCGTGGGTATTACCCTCACCCGACCCACTATGCTATACGGGCACAAAATCTATCCCAAGCACAAGCCCATGCGGGTACGGGTGAAACCGCGAGCCACTGGATGCCCGAATTCTTAAAAATTAGGCAGTTACAAAACATAGAATCCAAGTCAATAAAGCAGAATGAAAATGAACTGAAAACAAACATTTATAGCATTCAACCTTTTTCCATGAACTAGCAAACCCAGAACTTGCAAACTCAACAACTAAGAACTTAACTCAGTGAACTAAGACCCCCCCCCCCCCCCCCCCCCCAACCACGAACCCAAACAGTGTAACAAAATCCCAGAAACCAATAATCCGAATTCAGAGGTAACAAACCCAGAAACTACAGTACTACACCACAAATGAACATGTGGTAGTTCAACACAAAATCAAACCTATAGCTAGTAGAGAAAGTACTAAACAACAACAATCTTTCTTCCATCAGAAAACTGCCAATCTGTCTTCCATCAGCATAACAACAATGTCAGCAGAGCAGCAGCAACATTATTTTTAACGCATCAGCAATCCAAATGCATCATTCTCCAGCAAACCAAGAATGCAAACCAAGAATCCATCATTCACCATTAATTGTAATTCACCAACTAATGGCTAATGGACACTATTCTGCAATTAGACAGTATAAACATGTTTTCAGAATTTAACTAAGTAGCTAGCATTAGTAGGGAAATGTGAGCAGAGCAGTTACAAACCTAGAACTAGACAACTTGTCCACAAGGTTCACGACATGATCGTCTTCATCTCCTCCCATCTGGGACGGCACTTCAGCTCCATCTATCACAAAAACAAACAGTTTAGTAAATTCCCAAACCAGGTTATTAGTTACAAAAATTCAAAGAGGCTTACCTGTGCTCTCTTCTATCGTTACATCATCCATTGCCATTGCCGAGAACATCCCCTCCAACGCTTTCACTTCCGAGGCAGACACTACCAAAGAATGCAAGAATTAGTCAACTTCGAAATAAATAATGAAATAGAAAGAAACGATGGCAAGAACTAAAGAAGCATATTACCTTTGCTATCATCCTTGACCCAAGTCCTTAAAATCATCATTGCTTCAACTGTTTTAGGATCAAACCTGCTCCGATGGGGATCAAGAAGCCTCCCACCAGAACTAAATGCAGATTCTGATGCAACGCTAGTAACAGGTACAGCAAGTAAATCCCTTGCAATTTCTTGCAAAATGGGATACTTGGCATCATTGAACTTCCACCAACCCAACAAATCGAAGTCTGGTGTTCTAGGATGAACATACTCAGCTAGATAGTGATCTAACTCGGTAGTAACCACATTTGTTCTAGTTTTCTTTCTTTGGCTCACATATAGATCAAAATCCAGATCAGTGGCCGAAGAACAAGGATGCACACTAGAAGTAACAGGCGAGTTTTTGGAGGATTTCCTTTGGTATTCAACAACCAAGTCAGCAAGCACAATTCTCACCCTTTCAGAAACAAGATCTGTATTGGTAATACCAAATTTACCAGCATAGTACTCAACAATTTCCAATTTGTAACGTGGATCCAACACAACAGCCACGACCAACAACAAATGAATATCATCCCAATACTTGGCAAACTTATTCCACATATTCCCAGACATAGAAACGATCATCGGATTAGGGTCACTTAACCATTCCACCAATCGTAACCTCAAATCACAAACTTTGGGAAAAAACTGATTCGCTGTTGGGTAGTTGGAACCAGAAAAAACCAAAGTTATGTCCTTGAAAACATCAAGTTTGTCAACCAAAACAGCAACAAAATCTCACTGCTCGTCGGTAGGCACAGATTCATATTGAGCCTCCCTTATTTTCAATATTTCAAACACCTCCTTATACGGGATAGCAGCAGAAAGCATCTCATAGGTGGAATTCCACCGAGTGGGACAATCTAAAACCAATTTCTTAGAAACAGGTAGTTTTAGTTGTTGGGCAGTTGCATGGAAAGACTCCACCCTCCTAGGTGTGCATGTCCAAAAGACCACACTCTCCCTAATTTGCTCAATACCATCTTTCAGAACATCAAGACAATCCCTCACAATCAAATTAAGGATGTGAGCAGAGCACCTCATATGAATAAGTGTCCCATCCCTAATTAGATTAGACAAAACAAACCTTTTTTCACTAGATTAATCATTGAATCATTGGTAGTACAATTGTCAAGTGTAATTGTTGACAATTTACTATCAATGTTCCAAGATTGGAGGCATTGAGCTAGCTTTACAGCCAGCCTCTCACTAGTGTGTGGGGCAGGGAGGTAACCAAACATTAAAAGATGGTTTCTCAACTTCCAAAAGTTGTCGATATAGTGGGCAGTAACTGCCATGTAGGCCCGTTTTTGGTTTGTGGCAGTCCACATGTCAGTGGTGACAGCTATCCTCCCTTTGTTTTCGTCAAGAACCTTTTGAATCTTAGACCTCTCTAAACCATAAATAGTCACTATGTCCTTCTTTATGGTATTTCTGGTTGGGACTTTAAAGAGAGGTTTCAAGGTGCAGCAAAACCGTTTGAAATAAAGGTGCTCAACAACAGAAAGGGGATACTCATGCTCCAAGATCATGGTGCAGAGCTCCTTTCTAGACACCTCACTACTAAACTGATTGGTACTCATATCAGCTGTTCCATTGGCACTATAGTTAGCACCAAGAACCTTTTGACTCCCATCATGAATTTTTTTATGAACACATCTGTTTCTGTGAGTCCTAAGATGTGAAGTACCATTACTAGATTTCCCATCCAAGACCTTCTTACAGTAGTTGCATTTAGCTTTCAATACCCTAGAAACCATCATCCTAGTGAAATGAGGCCAGACATCAGATTTTAATCTCCTACTAGCACCTAAGGGATGTTGAGGAAGAACATCTTCCTCAACATTATTAGTATTACCAGGAGGAGGGGCAACAACATCATTAGCAGGAGCATTCTCAACGTGTTGGGGTTCCATCTGTTTAAGAGGGAGAAATAAAAAAAATGTTTTAGAAAGATGACTAGTGTCCAGTTGTGTTACTTAGTTCGAGTACTTTAGCCTTTAGGATTACATATTAGAAGTTACTAGATATGGAGTTTATTGTATTCAACTTAATGAATACAATAAAGCACTTTACTATTGAGCAGATTAAAAGATTCGAGTAGCATTACCAATGCCATTTATCATATTACAGTTTCGAACTTAAGTACTTAACAGTTTAGATGTGTTCAGTACTTGAGTTTAGCATATACAAAATTAGGATTACCAGTTTCGCACTTACAATCATAAATTGACCAGTTTAGCACATTACAGATTTCACCATTTGGTTTACTTACAACATAATCAATTTTACAGGTTAAGGTTTAGCTACGAACAACCAACAATAAGGTAGGGTCGACCACTTACCTAAGCAGATTGCAGTTTAAGCACCAGCTGCTTGATGAGATTCTTGAACAGAGTAGAAATCTGCACAAACACAAGCAAGCAAAATTAGTGATTGTGAGTCAAATTTAACTATGAACAACTAACAACTAGCTAGGTCGACAACTTACCTAAGCAGACTGCAGTTTAAGTACCACCTGCTTGATGAAATACCAGCACAGAAAGGGAAAATCTGCAAAAACAGAGAAGCAGGCAAAATTAGTGTTCTCTATTATGAAAGACTAAGTAAGCACCCGCAACAAATCATATAATGAATCTGCAAAAACAGAGAAGCAGGCAAAATTAGTGTTCTCTATTATGAAAGACTAAGTAAGCACCCGCAACAAATCATATAATGAACTTCATTATACTAAACTTACTGAGAATGACAGACAAGCAGTGGGATTCCATATCTGGAAGGCTAGGGTTTCTGGAATTAGGGTTCGAAGAACTGCAGATGAACAAAACAAAGAAGTGAGACTCCTATTTATACACGTTTAAGCAAAAATCGATTAAGGAAAGAAGGAATTAAATACTTATCTTCCTGGATCGGGGAAAGAACTCGTCTGCATGCACGATTCGAAGGCGATTTGCGTCGGTTGAGACATTTTAGGTGATTGAGGGCTTGATTAAGGACTAGCTTTGGGGTTATTGGCGATGAGATCGTCGATTTACTAGGGATTTCAGTAGAGAAATGGGGAGAAATCATCGAAATCGCAGAGATTTGGCAGAAATCGGCGATTCGCCTTGGCAGATTTCAGAGAAAATCGGGGAAGACGGCGGCTGGGTGTTTGCGAAAATGAAGGTTCCAGACCCTAACCCAAAAATCGCCCTTTATATATGCTATACCCAACGGAGCCGTTTTGTTATCGGCGCGGATACGGGGCAGGGATCTCTGAATCCATCCCCAACGCGTCACCGCAATTCACGGGCCGCGGGTATGCCCGACACCGGCAGCCAGCCCGTTTTCACGGGTTTAAGCCCAACACTGGCGGGCGGGCCCTAGCGGATGCCCATGGCCCGCGGGCCCATTGTCATCCCTAGGTTTCAGATTGATTGTTCTTTTTTGTTGTTAAATGTTAGATTAAATAATGTAAAATTAAATTATCATCAATCCGTCTCAGTTGACAAAACAAATGAGGAAGAGGTTCTGCGCCGGTGGGAATTTAGGTTTTATGTTATGCAGAGAATTTGTTAATTTTGGTTCCAATGAAATCTTGATTTTCTTATTTGTCTTCATTCAGTCGACCCAAGGAAGAAGATGGCGAGGGTTTGGGGTGGGGTGGGTGAAGCGGGTTGAATGACGTCACAATTTTTGTTTAGTGGAAGATCAAATGTCATTAGAACCGTGAGTTTTGAATAGTTGATGACATGTTGGTTGTGGCCATTCGTAAGAATCATAGCTGAACTCGATATCACTAGATACCACCAATTTTGGTGGTCGATTTATAATTACATGTTCAGACCAAATTATTAAAAAGGGAACTTAAAGTCACTGATAAAAATTAACACGTTGAGTATGTGAGTAAATATATCTTATTTTCTACTTTAAAAAGGGAACTTAAAGTCACTGATAAAAGGGAACTTAACACGTTGAGTATGTGAGTAAATATATCTTATTTTCTACTTTAAAAAATTATGTATCATAGATTGCTTCGATACTATGAAATAACATGATTTGGAGTAGTCAAAATTTATTAACTAAGTGATATATGATACCAACAAAGTATAATATGAGATTAGCTAACAAAATAAATCATATGTATCATGATATAGTAAATAAAGTACCAAATAAAAGTCAATATATTAGTAAACAAGCTACCTCGACGTCGACTCGTTTATTAAAGAGCCGAGCTCAACCTAGGATAAAACTCGACTGGACTGGGCTCATTTGCAGCCCTTGCTAGGATGCTTTATCAGTACAAACCTCTCATAATTTGAACGAATTCGATAATGATCAATTCACTTTCTTAACGTTGATGTCATTACTTCTCGATAATTGTATCATCTTAGTAGTTGTTTGTTATTTTGTCGATAGTAGGTTTTTTCTGAATCTGAAGCCAGATCAGTAGTTTGACCCACTGAAATAGCAATATTAAGTATAGATCTAGGTGAATTTAACTACATGTAGTTATATGTAGAGTAGCGTAGCATTATAGCTCATAAGTACTGTTGTGCTCCTACAATAATTAATTTTATAAAGGGCTCTTCCGAAGGCATTTGTTTTGATTTTTTTTTATGAGTAATCGGTTTCATTTCACTAAACATACAAGTGGATGGTAAACAATCACACATTGTACACTATAGATACTTTACATTCTAAAGACAACAACTCCATCTACACCACATACATCTCTACGAACTAAAGAAAACTATAACGATTCTTTAAACCATAGGGAAGAATATGACAACCTAGTCATAACAATGACATTCAGATCTTCCATACTAAGCAACATATATCGCATGATCAGTTGAGAATGGAGATAGGGGTTCACAGATCCTACTGCAATCAATTTTCAGTAATCACCAATCAATCGGATTACGAGTTTATTGCATCAAATCTCATTACATATAACATTCATATGATACGATCTACTTTTTAGTAGGACATTTATTTTTTAATAGAGATTAATTATATTTGCTTCCTTTGTTGCAAGTTTGAGAAAATAGTAATGATAAAGACATCAAATAATTAAAAAAGGGTAAAATTAGACCCAATTTATACTAATGAATTTGTATTGGTTTATCCAAGGAAAAAGTCTCTACCCACCAATGGAAAAAAATTACAATCCCTTCCCTCCATAATATTTCACGAAATTTTGATTTTTACCAAAATCACAACCCCTTCCCTCCATTCTTCCACGTTCCTCCATTCTTCCACGTTCCTCCATTTCTCTCTCTTCCAACGAACGAGGTCGAACTCATTCTTATCCCCTTGACGCTCTGTCCGGCGACTCTCCCTTTGCAAATTTGTTTTTGGCCGGCTGATTCATGAATTGAATATGCACCGTCTGCTTTCCCCTGGTTTTCGGCGAGCCTTCTCCAGCGGCTAAGAAGCAGATTACAGTCGTAGTTGGAGGTTCACTTCCTCGGGTTGCATGATTCCCGAAGGAAATTCATACTCGGCTACATCACCGCCGCCCAGCCTGCTGCCTTTATGACCTAGATGGGCGAACCGCTTCCATGCAAGGAGCTATCGGAGATTATGTGCCGGTTACGTTGACTGTAAGGCTGCCCCTACTCTGTCATATTGATGCACTTCGACAATCAAGGTCCTGGTTCCTATGGTAAGTATGATTATCACCCTCCAACGAGATTTGGGGCTAGTGGACTTCAGGTACCTCTTTGTGCATCTCTGTTCGTGATTGGCGTTGTGTGAATTATGCTAATTTATTTTTTATCGCCTTTGTTCGACTCCGCCATTGCGGGCGTTGGGACTACAGTTGGTTCCAATCACGGGAACTAGCTGCGGCTGCAGGTGTCTCCTGCGCAACATCGAACTAGCTGCGGCCGCTGCTTCTTTCTCGCACTCCAGAAATGGTTAATTCTCTTTCCTTTGATGGGGCTAAGTTTATGATTTTAGCGTAGTTCATGTGAATTTCGCGGTTTTAAGGAGGTGTCTTTCGATTGGTATTTCACACGGTTAAATTGCAACTGCGTAGTCCTTCGGGTGCCGCCATTATAGCTTCACAGGGCTACAAGATTTGAATAATTACATTGCTTTCGTGTCCACTGGGATTTGAAGTTCTCAAGGTTCTCGCAGAGGGGAGAGACAACAGTGATGTACGTCTCTTATACTTGTAGACAGTTGGGAATCAGTTTTAGTTAACTTTTCTGCAAAGGTTCTGACTCACTTCTACTGTCACTCCAGGAATTGGCCAAGTGAAACCACTTCCTAAAGTGTAGTATAGCGGGTTTGGGTTTAAATGTCAACCCGGGTCCTAGATTTGATGACTACTCGGTGAATTCTTGTTATCTAGCAATGAAACTTTAATGCAAGTCTAAACTAACAAACAAACAAAGCAACTAAACGGTTGTATTCAGGTTAAGAGAGGTCACCCGGATATGGTTCCCCCTAGACTGCAGTTAAGCCGGATTGCAATTACCAACTTCAGTTTCTATGATAGTTATACTGCGGAAGGTTCTTAAACAGCCTGAAGTCTCGACTAAAGGTCTTCAGACCCTCTTAATCTGAGTCTCTAGCGGGTGACTAACCTCCACCGGAGTAAACAGATTGAGGCCCTAACAACAAAACCTCCACTACCGAAGTGAATTCGGTACAGAATAGTGAGTTGGCTCCTCGACTAAAGTCACCAACTCCCTACCTTCAATCAAGGATGCTCTATCAACCTAGGTAGATATTCTCATTCTAGGTTAAAGCAGAAATAACAGGAATTTGATCAGGATTCATGCCATTCAATCATTCAAACCTCAATTGAATATAATCAAATCATAGAATCAATACTTGGGTTCATACAATCAGAGCCTAACATACAAATCTAGGGTTCTCCATACCCAGATGAATGGGAGAACTACTCCATGGAGAAAGAAGCAAA